TTGTCATTTACCTTTGATTCGTAAAAAGTAAGAGGGAAATTCAAGGTGAGACCCAACCACAGCCGAAACAAAGATTTAAAAGGGACCTAAAAACACAACTTTTTCTGCGCCACCCATTTCAAGCGTTAAATAATGAAGCAATTGGCACGTCACGAATTATATAAAATAACAATTTAGAAACATTGAAAACTTAACAAGCATAGATATGAAAATAGTTTCGCGTTTCGCTAAAATTACAAGTAATTTCATTGCTAAAGTCATTAGACCGCGACTCGATTATTCTTACGTAAGCTAACGATTTTAGTAATTAACTAAGCTTTTTAATTATCAAGTGTTTATTAAATTTTTAACGAGATAAGGTTCTCAACCCTGGACACCATGTGTGCTTTACCTAAATTATGAAATCCTATTCTGCACACTTGGGAACTTCCGTACGCTTGCTGCGCTAAATTATTAATCGAACGGTACTCTTATTGGAACCATAAAAAACTTTCATTGTCATAATCCAAGCAATAATACATTAAAGCAGCTGCAACTTGCATTGTGTTGTATTTTTAGAGAGTGTGTTGTCTAGACCGAGCCGAGTCTCTTGGCAAACGACTTTATTCAGTTGGCAAACGTGACCACCGTTCGATTTTCAAATTACCATATTTTTTAAAACCGTAAATATTCAACTTCGATTAGCTTCAAGCTGGTTTTAAAGGATGTGACACTGTGTCATTAAATTTACTATTTAATTGGATGTGAATACACTATTGTATCGTCGTGTATCAACCAACTCAAAAAGGTAACGACCACGACCACGTCTTTCGCTTAAACTGCACAATATGACTCATAAGACGGTCTCCCAACATTACAAAAACGATCTTAAATATCGTGAGAAAGACCACCAATCTAATGCCATTAATATGTAAATCTTTAATTAATTGGCAAGGTTCAAGGTATACGTAAATCAACCAAGCTCAATCGACAGCGGCTCCCTCTTTGGCCATCTGCAGAACGTGCCGCCTGCCTCAACCATTCCATTTCGTGCAAACAATTAGCAACCCACAACCATGCCTCAAAATGATAAATTTGAACCAATCTTTCTTCTATATTATATTTTTTCGTTCAAGAAAAATACGTCATTTAGGTCCAATTTAAAAAACATTTGTTTATTTACAGTATATAGAATTTTTGACTTCAGAACGGCGTTCGTAAAATTTGTATAATGCGCGAACCAAATGAGGATAAAAATGAAATCTTGCCCAGACAGGTTTGAATAGCTTGTTAAACAGTGCCCGAAGAGTGATTACTTATAATTTAGTTTTCTCGAGCCGGCACGTAGTTCAAATAAATATTTTTTGAAAATTTTCCCAAGTCGTAGAAATTCCAAGGTTAATAATGTGGTAATTTAAAATCCATTACTTTTGACAAATTACCTCAGCACGTCTCTGGAGTCAATCAATTTATCTCTGTTTTTTTGTTACAGATTATCTTCGAGCTACAATGAAGAGGAAATTTTGAAACGCGTTTCAGACGCGTACAATCGACAAAATGTTTGGTTTCCGATTAATCTTGCAATGTAACTACGTGGTAGTGAAGATCTTGATTTGGTCGATATGTTTGATAGCGCTTTGTCATGCTTGGATGCCGGATAGTTCTTCCAAATTAATAAACCATTTCAAATCAGTTGAAAGTAAAAGCTTTACGGGGAATGCGACATTCCCTGACCACTTTATTGTCTTGAATCAAGACGAAACTTCGATATTAATAGGTGGTAGAAATAGGGTTTATAATTTAAGTATATTCGACCTCAGTGAGCGGAAAGGGGGTCGAATCGACTGGCCATCGTCCGATGCACATGGCCAGTTGTGTATTTTGAAAGGAAAAACAGACGATGACTGCCAAAACTACATTAGAATACTCTACTCTTCCGAACCGGGGAAATTAGTTATTTGTGGGACCAATTCGTATAAACCTCTTTGTCGAACGTACACATTTAAGGTATAAAAGTTCGTTTGTGCAATAGTCCACATTCATATAATAATTCTAGGATGGAAAGTATTTTGTCGAGAAAGAAGTAGAAGGGATAGGCTTGTGTCCATACAATCCGGAACACAACAGCACATCTGTCTACTACAATGGTCAATTATTTTCAGCGACTGTCGCTGATTTTTCCGGGGGCGACCCTCTAATATACCGGGAGCCCCAACGTACAGAACTTTCAGATCTCAAACAATTGAATGGTACAAAATCAAAAAAAAAAAACTCACTTTGACTAATTTGCTATTTCAGCACCAAATTTTGTAAATTCTGTGCCCTATGGAGACTACATATTTTTCTTTTACCGTGAAACCGCCGTCGAGTACATGAATTGTGGAAAAGTGATTTACTCGCGAGTCGCTAGAGTTTGCAAAGATGATAAAGGAGGTCCTCACCAGTCACGTGATCGCTGGACGTCGTTTCTCAAAGCACGTCTCAATTGTTCCATTCCCGGCGAGTATCCCTTTTACTTTGATGAAATCCGTGAGTATTGCAATTTTTTAGGTTGATTTGTATTCAACTCAATTCGTTTAGAATCAACAAGTGATATAGTCGAGGGTCGGTATAATTCCGACGAGAGCAAAAAGATAATTTATGGAATCCTGACAACTCCCATTAATGCCATCGGAGGCTCGGCAATTTGTGCGTATCAAATGGCCGACATCTTGCGAGTCTTTGAAGGAAGTTTCAAACATCAAGAAACGATCAACTCAAACTGGCTTCCGGTGCCTCAAAACCTAGTCCCTGAACCCAGACCCGGGCAGTGCGTACGAGACAGCAGGATCCTGCCAGACAAGAACGTCAACTTTATTAAGACCCACTCTTTGATGGAAGAAGCCGTTCCGGCTCTTTTCGGAAAACCAGTTCTGGTCCGAGTGAGTCTACAGTATCGGTTTACAGCCATAACAGTGGATCCACAAGTGAAAACAATCAATAATCAGTATCTCGATGTTTTGTATATCGGAACAGGTGAGTTGATGATTCTTGACTCGATTCGATCATATCGTGGGTGATTATTATAGATGATGGGAAGGTACTAAAAGCTGTTAATATACCAAACGCGGACACCGCTAAAGCGATTGTTATATCGGAAAATACCGTACTACCTCACGGAGCTCCTGTAAAACAGCTGAAGATCGCTCCCGGTTATGGAAAAGTTGTTGTGGTCGGGAAAGACGAAATCAGACTTGCTAATCTCAATCATTGTGCAAGCAAAACGCGGTGCAAGTAATTACTATCCAATGTATTGTTTTTGTGATAAACTATAACTGTTTTTTCTAGGGATTGTGTGGAATTGCAAGACCCACATTGTGCTTGGGATGCCAAACAAAACTTATGTGTCAGTATTGACACTGTCACTTCTTATCGTTTCCTGATCCAGGACGTAGTTCGTGGCGATGACAATAAATGTTGGTCGCCTCAAACAGATAGAAAAACTGTGATTAAGAATAAACCTGCCAGCGAGGTTGAGAAAGAAATTACGAACTCCATTGATGAAAAAGAGCTCGATTTAAGCGATCCACTTATCAAAACAGGTCTCGATGACGATTCCGATTGTGATCCAGTCAGTGAGAACAGCATAGGCGGATGCGCTGTTCGCCAGCAACTTGTTATATACACAGCGGGGACTTTGCATATTGTTGTGGTCGTCGTCAGTATCGTGGGTTTATTTCTTGGCTTTATAGCAGGATATTTATTTTCGCAAAAATTTCACTCGCATTCGCAATATCCTGAGGCGCCGTTTATAGAACAGCACAATCATTTGGAAAGGTTGGTTCTTTGTCCTTTCGGGGCGACACTTTACTGATTTCTTTATAGATTAAGCGCCAACCAGACGGGGTATTTGACTCCGAGAGCCAATAAAGCGGTCAATTTGGTAGTGAACGTCTCGAGTAGTACGCCGCCGCCGAAAAAGGACAATCTCGACGTCAGCAAAGACTTGAATATTGCAAGTGATGGGACTTTGCAAAAAATCAAGAAGACTTACATTTAAGTGCGATTTTTCTACTACGTGAATGTACCTGTGGTGATGGAGGGGGCCATTACGGGAATTTCCTTGATGTTCTGGCAGCAAACTCACGCTCAATGCTAACGACGTAAAGTTTTATTTACGTTTTTTAATTGTTTTATTCGTAATTTTTATGTATAATGACTGTGCGACAAATGTGTTTTTGTGATATTCACTAGAGGCATATGACCTAACTTACACTATAATGGAACATGTTTTTTACAGTATTGTCAAGTATTAAAAGTAGCAGGAAATGAAATTTTTATATCGAAAAATCAATACCATTAAAATATATTTGTGTAACGGTGTCTCTGTTATATTCTGTTGCTAATTTTAGATATATGAAGCTCTATTGTAAATAACTAGGTCGTTCATAGGTGATGTTAATTTAAGTTATAAAATTAAGTATGAAATTATTTCAATCTGTTTGGCTGTGAATTGTAGGTCTAAAAAGTATATCATGTTGCCTTTTATAGTGCCTATTTTTTTTTATTTGGCAGTCACACAGAGGGAAAATCTGCAATTTTTAGTAAATACAAAATGTACAAATTTTAGAGATAAGTGAAAGAGACTATTACATTCCTTAGCTTATGTATATTTGTATCATTTGTTTTAAGCGAATAAATAATAAACAAACTCATAATTTATTCAACTCGTATTTTACAAAATAGACACTAGTAGCTTGCAAATTTTCATAAATCCGCCTGAAAAAGACGATCAACCAAACGTTCGCCATCTTGGGTTGAAGAGTCAAATCAACCAAAGATGGTGTATATTTGTATCATTTGTTTTAAGCAAATAAATAATAAACGAATTAAGCGAATAAAAATAAACCCTAGTAGGTTGCAAATTTTCATAAATCCACCTGAAAAAGTGATCAACCAAACGGGTTGATGAGCCAAATCACCCAAAGATGGTGACATCCGGGTCACGTGGGCGTTTTGACGTATCTTAGTTCGGACTCAAACCGGAGAAAGTGGTCCGTCAAAAAATGCGTAAATACCAGCATTATGTTATCTATAATTTAAATGAAGTGTATTGAAATGAGATAAATAAGTTTATTGAATTGGTGTTATTAATAATAACTTGATGGGGTACGAGCAGTATGGTATTTCAGCGGGTTAACTAGAAGTCGACAAAAATGGAGTGGATACGCAGTGGGTACAACATGTTAAATAAGCAGCCGCGGGCTTTGATGGGCAGCACAATGGAAGAATGCGACCCCCAAGCTTGCTACGACAGTTTCAAAGAACACTGGCATCAAGCTTTAAAGATCATCAATCGGACCCAGGTTTTGACAAAAGAAAAAGTGAGGTTACGTTACTTGTCAATGTGAATTCTAGCAATTGCCTAAAAATGATGATGTTCTGGGGGTTGTCAACCATTTGGAGCAGATGGTGACGCTTCTGTTGTACGATATGAAGAAAATTGACCAGCTCAGAGTTCCAATTTCGTCATCTTCTCAGTGTCTGGAATACATGCTTGCTGAAAATATCCTTGACAAGTTGTTTGAATGGGGCGTCCGTGCTGGAAAGTACGTCACTACGAAACGCAAAATGTGTCACTGATATCACTATTTCGTAGATTTAAGGACGCTGTAAGGTGCGAACAGTTGAAGTTGTATGAAGTTTTGATCAGTAGATCCAGACACGTCCTTTTAGTCCATGAACCGTTTCTTAGGCCAATGTTGAAACTACTCAACTCCTGTAAAGATGAATTGTTTTCCAGAGACATAGAAAAACTTCTTGTCGACTTACTAAATCAATTGTGCGCTCTCTTAATGCAAAATGTTGATTTAATTGATTTATTTTTCCAGAAGAATGAAAATAATTCAAGGTAAATAACAAGTTTTAAGTAATGTCAATACTGGAGTTGTCAATTGTAGGTTTATAATTTTCTTGCTGTTAATACCGTTTGTGCATCGCGAGGATTCAATAGGGATGAGGGCTAGAGACGGTTTGTTGCTCTGCATGTCGCTGTCAAAGAAAAATAAAGACGTCGCTACTTACATAGTAGAGCGGTCAAATTTTGCAGTGTTAGCTGCCAGCGGTTTAAACGGTTTATATTCTTTGTTACCAAATATTCTGGACGATATATCAGTACCTGATTGGCGTCGCTTAACTCCCGATGACGTAAACGACATTAAGGGTTTATCAACATTTGTAACATCGTTGGAGTTTAGCAATGCTGTAGCACAAGTCGCACATCCCATGATTAGAAAACAACTACAAGAATTTTTATTTCGCGGTTTTTTGATACCCGTCTTAGGTCCTGCGCTTTTACAAACTAATACTGACGAGCAAGTAGCCGCTACCGCTTATTTAGAATTAATTTTACGCACAGTAACGCAACCGGGTCTTTTATATGCTTTATTAAAATTTCTGATAAATATGGATTACGATGGACAAAGACTCTTGAACATATTAATACAACGAATTAATTCCGCATCTGAGTTGTGCCTAGTTTCTTTGTCGTTATTTGAAACCATGGTTAACTTAAATTGTGAGGATATGATGCTTGAGTTGGTTTTCCAACATTTGCAACCGTGTCTGCACTTGATGTTGTCTCAAAGAAGAATGTTGTTGCCATTAGACCCCCATTGTCAGAGTTTTGAAAAATTGTTAAATCTAGCACCGACTTGTTGTGATTTACCAACATCACCTCGAACTGATAACATACATTGGAATCACTATGGGGGACAACAAAGCCTCTGCGGAAAATACCACGCGTATTTGTACGACGCCAGGAATAAAATTGCAAGCTGTCAAGCGGCGTGTCAGTCTTGGAATAATTCTTATACGGGTTGTGATGAAATTCTTCAAGATCCAAGCAATACAGGTAAGTCGTCACCGATTATTTCGAGCAAATGCAAGTGGTTGCGTTTCAGAAGAAAATTGTAATAGTTTATCTTCTTTGGGCGAAAGTAGTGGTTACGAAAGTTTGAAAATAAAAATTGACGACTCGGATGAAATCCCAGTTTGGCAAATATCGTCGAATAAAGTTAAAAAGAGCACTCCTGTGGTCATAGATAACGATCATTTGAACAGTTCTGGAAGTGCGGGACTTTTCTTGACTATTCTCCTTGAAAAACTGAAAAATTTTCTTTCAAATTCGTTTTATATCAATTTGCATGTGACTGGTTTAATCTCAAGGTTGGCGGTGTACCCCCAACCCCTCTTGCGGACTTATCTATTAGACGACAGCTTGGTGTTGCAACCGAACGTGCCATCATTATTTCAAGTGAGTATTTTATCAGTTGCTTATCGTTTATTATTTATCGTTTGTGTTTAGATTATTGGTTCTTTGAAACAAAGCATTGATGAGTATATGAATAGGCGTTCTGATAGCGCAAGTCTGATAAGGGCAGCGAAAGACTTTCTTGTCGATAGAGAAACGAGACTAATAAATGCGCGGCGTAACACTTTAGAAAAATCATCTTCGTTTAATATGGAACCGGAACCGTTCCAACGGAACGAACCGAAACGCCGGAGCCTGAATTTGCCATCGTTTACGAAAATGTTAGGTCGAAGACCGAGTCAAGTCGCCGAAAACAGCGTTGCGATGGTTCCCACTGAAGAATACAGTTGTAATTTACTCTATCCGAAATTTAACGAAGCACAACATGTTGCATTATGCGCTGTTTTGCTGGACGAATGGGTCAAAGAACTGGCCGCTCTTGCTCAAGAACACACAATCGCCCAACTTGCCGCCCTTTTTAAATAGTCATTTTATTGTTGCAATGTTTTTAACAATCGATTTCATAAATCATTAGCGACCGATAGCAATTTTTTAACAATGGGTTCGCTGTATTCGCTAAAAATTGTTTTTGTGTTAGTGTGGCTTTTTAGTGATATATGGCGAACTTCATCATTCAGTTAGAGAACATATCGTTCAGGCGCCCATAATTTGTTATTGAAAACCTACTTGTTATGATGTGTTTAAGTAATTTTTTAAAAAATGTCTGTGATCTCTATTTAAAAATAAGAAAATTTTATACAAACACGTTAATAATGTTACTACAACCTCATCGTCAATTTTGCTGTGCATTTTTCATTGAAACCTATGTATATTTTATTTATTTTAACTTTGTAGCATACAGGTCTACATTTGATATTTTAACCTATTTTAAGTTGAATACCCTGTCTGATAAAATTAAATGAAATTAAAAAGTATGAACAAAAAATATTGCAATTCAATTTTTCCTCACGCAAATGCAACCGTCTTTAATTTTGCAGCACGAGCAAAAAGTAAAAAACAGAATTTTGTAATTGTAATGTCTTAAACTGAGGTATTTCGTTAAAATATCAGTGTGCCCTACGTGCTACTTGATTTTATATGTAATATAATACTTCAAAGATGTGGCAAGGGAGAGTTGTATGTTTTTAAATAAACTGTATTACTAGTTACATAGTTACTTCAGTATTTATCCGGGTGATTGTAATTTTCGATCTTATCAAAAGATTTAACCAATATTTTGTTATACAAACGCGCTCTAAATAGCATTGCCAACGTTTGGTTATTTTCACCAAATCCCATAGCAATATCTGATTGTAGATAGTTGTTGTTTCAGGAAAATGGCAATGTGTTTTGTTGGTGGCCTATATTACAACTCTGTAACATAGTTTATAATCAAGATTTATAAAGTAAGAAGGTTGCCTCGTAGCTTTGCACCAATCACTTGTGCGCATTATTTGCGCGAATTGACGTCACTAGAGGTTTCGTTCAAAAATAGGATAAATAACCATATTATTAAGTTAAAAAACTAGAACTCCGTAAAATAAATACTGATAAAATATTTTTTATTAACGGTAAAATACACTGATAAAAAAATATAAATTTATTTTGCTAAAACTTGCAATATTTTAATTTATAATTTTATTCATTTTTTCTTTGTTAGTTTATCAGAAATTTTCTTGATACCTATTTATCGCAGAACACTGGTCTTTTTTGTATATGATAGAAAATTAAATTTTCTTTCCAATGGTATCAAACATAAGTGGTTATCACCAAGAAGTCCGGAGTTACTTTGAACAGACCGCTCCGGGTGCCAAAAATCGACCAAAATCCAGACAAAAATCAAAAAAATTTTAACTTTAAAATGGATCCATATAACGTTTTTTACATTTCTAGTGATCTTAAAGACTCAAAATAGTGCATAAAATGTTATTGGGTCAAATTTAAAAGCTCACGAATTTTTTGAGTTTAAAAACGCTTGAAATATGTTTTTTTAGACGTAAAATTACCCGCTGAACGCGATGCAACAGGTTAAAATACTCTGCGATGCATAGTTTTTGCGTTATTGAGTAATAAAGCTCAAAATAAGGCTAGAAGCATACAAGATCTATAAAGGAAGATGTGGTAAATAGTGCAAGATGCAACACAATAATAATAACACAAATCTGAAATCTGACATAATGTGATCAACTTCAGACAATTGAAAATCAAAATTGACGAGAAAAAGCAGACTTTAACTTGAAAAAAACTTTGTTTTCACTGCAAATGTAAATCTCAAAAAATTGCACACCCACTTGTGTTGGTCCTTAAATCTAGACAAATCAGGACATAAATGTAAAACAAGACAAGACAATAAAAACCTAAACATGTCCTGGCTAAATCAGGACGTTGGCCCCCTTAATCTGTCAGTCTGAAACCTGCGGCTGATCAAGCAAGACTCCACTGACGTCACCATATAGCCATCTTACTCGCTCTTTAGTGTCTCTCACTCCAAGTTACCAGCCAACCTTCTTACTTTATAAATCTTGGTTTATTATTTGTTTTGCTAGTAACTTATATTATCTAGAAGCTATAAATGGTGAAGTTAAATATAGGCAACCAGCCAACATTTCGCCGACTTTCTACAATTGGATAATGCTATGGAATCTGGTGCAAAAAATCAAAGGTTGGTAATGCTAGAAGAATTCTCGTGAGTGTACATTCTCTTGAGTCTTTATTCTCACTTGCGCAAGAGACCTAAACTGATGATATGATCGAATGGGGTTGTAGCCGCTCCTTTTTTGGCAATACTTTGACAGTTTAATGAAATTGTTTATAATTTAAAACTCCAGTAATGTGAATTAGTGAAGTTAGAATACCAAATAAAGTCAATGACTAGTTTAATGGAAAAAGAAAAATATGTACCACTTTGTAATTTTATTGGTAGTTTTTAGTATAAGCAATGGAGAAATACAAAGTTATTGTGGGATTTACGGGGGCAAGATATGTGAAAATTACGTGGGACATTCAAAGATGGTGTGGTTTAATAATTCGGGAGGTTTTGAAAACGAAGAGATAACTAAGGCGCTTTGGAAAGAAGTTATTGAGACTTTTAATGAACCTTGTCGACATGCAGCTGAAGTAACACAAATCCTGATGAGAAAAACATACGTTATTAATATTTTTCTAGAAATTGTTATGTTTTTATGCGTTTCCTGACTGCTACTTAGGCAATCCTCTTCCACTATGCCATGAAGATTGCATAGCAGTGAAACAACTTTTTTGCTACAAGGAATGGGCACATATTGAAGACAAGAAATCCAATGGGGTTGTTTTCAAATCTAGGGGCCACTTTAGACTACCAGTATGTGAAAAGTTACCCAAATATCAAATGTTAAATAATACTGCGACATGTTCATATGCCGGCCTTGTGGAACTAAAAGAAGACGAATTAACATGTAAGCTACTTTCTTGATTAATAACCAATCTAGGTGAGAATTTCCAGATGACTGTATTAAAGGACGTGGTCGTTTTTATCAAGGCAAAGTGAACGTGACCAAAGACGGTCTAGCTTGCCAAAGATGGGACTCCCAGAAGCCCCATTCGCACAATTCTCCTCCTGACATTTTCCCCGAATTGAGAAATTCTGAAAATTATTGCCGCAATGCCGGCGGCGAAGAAAAAAAGCCCTGGTGTTTCACAACAAACTCGTCAGTAAGGTGGCAACACTGCGACATCCCCAGGTGTCTCAATTCCACTTCTGAGGAATCAGAAGATGCAGCTATCGCAATGGACACTTTTCTCTCCCCTTCATTCCTTATTATTTATTCTGTAATCGGCCTTCTAGGTGTAATAATCTTAACTCTCTTAATTCTACTCTGCCATCGAATTCACAAACATCGATTGGGGTACAACCCCACGGATACCGCCGAGGTTAACATCGACCTAGACAAGTTACCAAGCAACATGGCCTACCACCGACATGGGGTAACCCTCAACCCGAAGTTAGAAAAACTTGAATTTCCACGCAATGACATTATTTACATCAAGGATTTGGGGCAGGGGGCTTTTGGACGAGTTTTCCAAGCCAAAGCCCCGGGTTTAGTCTCGGGGGAAGAGTTCACTTTAGTGGCAGTTAAAATGTTGAAAGATGACGCGTCTGAAGACATGCAGGATGATTTTGAGAAAGAAGCGTGTCTTTTGGCCGAATTTGACCACCCCAATATTGTTAAATTGTTGGGGGTTTGTGCCATAGGACGCCCCATGTGTCTCTTATTCGAGTATATGGGCAAAGGGGACCTTAACGAATTTTTACGGCAGTGTTCTCCCAGTAACTACGTCGTACGCAGCGTCGTAGATGGCGAATATGGGAGCAGAGACGTGTTCAAAGACAACCAATTGAGTCACTTGGAACTGCTCGAAGTAGCTCTACAGATCGCTTCCGGAATGGTCTACTTGTCCGACCGCAAATTCGTACACCGGGATTTGGCAACGCGGAATTGTCTGATAAACGAAAACATGGTTGTAAAAATTGCCGATTTTGGACTTTCACAAAAAATATATCTCCAGGTGAGATAAAGTGATCCCCGGAGAGGTAATTTTTCATTTTGTGGTTTCAGGATTATTACAAAGGGAGCGAAAGGGACGCAATTCCGGTCCGGTGGATGCCTTTGGAAAGCATTCTCTACAATAAATACACGCCGGAGTCGGACGTTTGGGCTTTTGGTGTGTGTCTTTGGGAGATTTTCTCGTTTGCGTTGCAACCATATTTCGGGATGACGCACGAAGAAGTCGTTAGGTTTTTAAAAGCCGGGAATGTTTTGGCAAGTCCGGAAAACACACCGGCAGCTATTTACCAAGTCATGAAGGATTGCTGGGCACAAAAACCGGTCGATCGGCCTAATTTTCGCACTATACATCAGACGCTCACTAATATACAAAGCAACATGCTCGCAATGCCCTTGCAATCGACGTAGTTCTTACAATTGTCACTTTATGTTTTGTTTAGGAAAATTGTGATATGTATAGTTTGGAGACTTGTGTTACTGCACTACTAGGTTATTTTGTTTCTAATAAAACCCATTATGCATAAGACTGATTTTGTATCCGTTTAGTTTTTACAAGCGTCAGGGAAAGATAAGATTGTTTAAACGAATTTTTTGCGTAGGGGTTACATGTGTATAAGTGTTGTGTGTTTTTACCATTCCTATTTAAGAGTGCTTGGTAATATATTTATACCTAACGAAGAAAAACATATGTTTAATATAAAATGTTTTTTAAATTTAATACCTGTGACAAATAAAATTATATAAAATATATTTGATTTTTATTTGGGGTTTTGAAATTTGGCGCGTTGGTGTCGGACTTTTGTTGGTGGTGCGTCAATATTGACATCTCTGTCTAGCTCATTGCAGTCAGCGTTATTTGAATACGTTTCGTGGATGTTTGGGAGCGAGATAGGGCTATGTCTGCGACGGCTGTCTCGCTCTGATGCCCCTTCTTACTGACATACAACCTGACTGACATCAGAATTTTCCAAAGTTTAGTGTAGAACGCGAATAAATATAAATAAAATAATTCTCTTCTTAGTGCCTATCTTATGTTTAACCAATCGAAAAATTTCAAAACATAGTCCTATCCCAGGTAATGACAAATAAGGAGTTGTCATGTAAGTATGCTAAACATCTAATAGCATTTACTTTTGCTATTTGGTTTCTGCTATCATATTTGGTATTTTTTAATTCAATTCTAATTGAAGGTGATTTTTTCAGTACCCCCCGCAATTATGGAACAGAAAAACGTAAGTCACTTACCATAATCTAGTCGTTATTAAAATAACTTTAGGTTAGGTTTAGAAAATTTTCATTTCATTCCAATATGCACACTCCCAGTTTACCCAATCCTTTGCACCACTACCAAATAACCACAGTTTTCTCTTCGTGCTCTCAAACAACCCTTAATTTTTTTCCTTCTTTTTTCAGTCTGTTACAGACGTTGCTGGAATGTCAAATGGTTATAGACGTCCAAGAACTAGTGCCGATTTTTATGATTTTTGTACAGTGGTTTTGCAATATGCGAATTACGAAGGCTGGAAAAAAGACGTAAGTTTACTTTAAGCCCACTTTTAGCCCAGCATGTGGTGTTTGTGACTTTTTTTTGTGCCAGGATCTACGAAACGAGACTAACCAAAGCCCTCCCTTGGACAGCTCAGGGAGTAGTGTCAATTCCGAGTCCACTAGTTCAGGTCAGAAGGATAAACAGAGTGAAGACGATGAAGATAGCGACTCTTTTAACTTAGTTACTTGTTTTTGTGGCAAACCCTTTGCAGGTAGACCTATGATAGAATGTTTGGAGTGTCTAACATGGATACACCTCTCCTGTGCTCGGATTAAAAAAAATAATATACCAGAAGTAAGTCAATTTCGTCTTATTCGACTCGATTTTATTTACTAGTGTCATAATCCAGTAGTCTTATGTCAATCAAGTAATCATCCCTGTGTTGGATCAGGGGTACCAATCGCCATATTAAATAATTTTAATAGAAATAATTGACTGAATTTTTATTTGTGCAGAATTTCGGCTGTATATTTTTATGGGTTATACGGGGTGTCTGAAAGTTCGGTGGCGGCTTGTTGATGGAGATTATCTTTTTTTTTGGTTTAGGTGTTCCTATGTGCCACATGCAAAAAGAAGCAGCGATCTGTGTCTCCCACTAGTCCCCCCGACAAAGCTGTGAAACGTCCGCGTAGATCCACGTAGAGTTATTACAGATGCATTGTATATAAACAATACGTAGATAACAATGTAAAAATGTAAATACTCTTATGTAAATTCTTGATTATGTGCCCTTAAACGGCCGTTTTAATCACAAAATTGATTTACCTATACAAAATGATAGTATCTCTACATTTGTTGACTGTTTTAGTGATGCTATATGAATGTGATAGGTCCAAAGTGGTCTCCATTTTTTATAAAAAAAATTTTTTTATCATGTCCCAACTCGTGTCATCTTTATTTTACATCGATAGTTAATAAGAAAATGTGTTACGTTAGTTTTAAGGAATAAAAAATGGAGATTACCGATATTTTTACTATTTTTACAGCACAAAAATGTATTGTAAAAATACTAAACAGACGTTTAAGCGTTCTATATTTTGTAAACGAAAAGTCTATATTTATAAAAAAAAGAAATTATTGTTCGGCAACACATTTTCATATTTGATGTTGGGATTTTAACATTTGATGGGCAATCATGGGGGAAAATAATGAAGTCAGTTAATTGACAAACAACATTATCAGGTTTTTTATTTTTTGTATATGTTGGCTTAATTTTAGTAAAGGAACTTTATACAATTTATTATTTTATCGTGGATTTTTAACAAATTGTTAATCAATTTATACATATTTATACAATACTCATTTGTCTTATTTTTTAAATGTATGTTTATCAAGTGACTGAGTCTATTATTTTCAGTTGTGAACACATAAAAATTGTGATATTCTTTAAAATATATAATATATATAGTTCGCCTTGGAAGTTATGACAAATACATTGCTATAACTTATTTATTTATTTGCTCTGTTTTATTAGAATCGGAATTTGTATATTTTTGGACCAGCGCTCATTATGAGGCATTTCCCTTTAATTTTATCTTTAAAAATTGTATATTTTTCCTTAAATCGGATTTGCCTTATAATTGGTAATTTATTGTAAAATATTGTAGTTTTATCTTCATTAATTAATTAAAATGTTTTGCTGGACTGAATTGTTTTAGTTTGTTACCACATTTTCAAGAACTATCTCATCATTATTCAAATTTATAACTAACATTTAGTTATCGATCAATTTTTCTTGCAAATGTTGGTGTACCTCTAATATCATCATAGTTTGTAGCATAAGATTATTATTTTGATATGTTCTATGTTATATTATACTTCCCGTATATTTTTATATCCTTATAATAAGTTATAAGTGGTATTAAAGTTACACTGGTCTTTCAAGACTTCGTGTTGTTAATGATAAACATGAAAAAATTAAATACTTTTTATAAGGCATTGTATTTGCAATAAAATTTAAATGTTTCTCATGTATTTCATTACCACGAGTTAAAAAAACCCGCCAAAAGAATTCAAGTTGCTCTTAATGCGCGCGCATTAATTATTGCTAAATACAAATAGTAACTGTATTACTGGTTGCCGCATCTGTATGAATTTGTAAACATTTTGCGTTTCTTGCCTTATTTTACCACATTTTAAATAACCGTGATATAAAACACCAAATACACCCTTTGTAGTCAACATCTATTGTTAGGTACTTCTTTTTCGTTTGTCAGTTATCATTTATTATACAATAAAATTATACACAACAACAAGTCACACAAAAATGCGTTTTCTACTATTGTTGTTAAGTAAATGAAAAAATTAGATATTATGTCCTTACTAAAAATTATTTAACAGATTAATAATGATTAAATTTACCGGTTATTTATAAATGTGGAAATTTATGCGCGCGCAAAGTTTGTGTCACGTGTCAAATTTAGTGGCTGTCTTCTGTCATTTTGTTGTCTGTTGTGTACCGCGTTGGTTCTTCCATCAAAGGTTGGTGTTAAGTTTCGCAAAAAATCTGTTAAATCTCTTAACATCCAACTATAAAGTTCCAAAATATCCCGAAATATCACCTCCTTTTTTCCGTCCCTGTCAATTTGGGCCCACTTTGGGTACCTTAAATCTACCAAACTTACCAAATATTGCCGATGGCCGAATTAAGGTTATGTGTAACAGTGTTGTGAATTTGTAATTCTACTCAAAACGTGGCTTTTACATGTTGTTGTTTGGTTAAAATAGACAGTTTTTGACCGCTTTTTGTAATTTAAGGATCAACCATGGCGCCGAAAGGAAATAATATGATCCCGAATGGGCACTTTCACAAGGACTGGCAAAGGTTTGTGAAGACTTGGTTCAACCAACCTGCGCGAAAAATACGAAGGAAGCAAAACCGTATCAAGAAAGCTAGGGCTGTAGCTCCTAGACCTGTAGCCGGGTCTTTGCGACCCATCGTTAGGTGCCCCACAGTCAGGTATCACACTAAAGTGCGTGCAGGGCGCGGATTTACCTTACAGGAGTTGAAGGTGTGTTGAGTTTTGTGCCAGTTTTTTTGTTTTCATTGATTTCTTTTGATAGGCCGCTGGAGTTAACAGCAATTTTGCTAAGACTATTGGCATAGCTGTTGATTACAGGAGGAGGAACAAGTCTATTGAATCTGTTCTCGTAAACGCGCAACGTTTGAAGGAATACAAGTCGAAACTTATTTTGTTCCCAATCAATAACAAGAAGAAGTTGAGGCCTGGTGAAGCCACTGAGGAAGAAAGAAAGGTAATTTTTGGGGTTGTTCACAAACTTTATTGAGAAATATTTCTGAGACAATGAAGTTTTGTGGATTGTTTGTTATTCTGTGATTCTGGTTATTCTTCATTTTATGTATTGAGAATTGTCTGAGACCGCTTGGCAATTGATTTCTTAAATACTGTGTTTACATTACTTGATTATTGTTTTTTCCTACGACCCTAACAGAAAGCAAGTTTTTCCAGCTTAATTTTTTAGTTACCCTTCAGAGAGGTAAAAATTATACCTCTCTCTGTCAAAATTACAATATAACCTCTCAAGGAAGTAAAAGTTTTGTCTCTCATAGAAACGGAAAAACATGTTGTTATATTTAATGGCGATAATGGGATACCAAGGGAAATTGTGAGTGTTAGGTTGTTGGTGTTAGTATCAGGCATCAACTTCCATCTGTAGGAGGAAAAGATACACTTTCCTCCCTTGAAACACAAATAATTATTGTTTATTTTTTGTATGTGTGATATAAAATCCACTTTGCTGCTTTTTCTAGATAAAAATGAAGTTGAGATATTTTTTCAATACAAAGTTTTGTGTTTTTTTATTGTTGTAATTATTTTGAAGTCGTTTATGAGACAGTTACTTGATGTAAACTTGGCTGTATGTTTTTTTTTTACTAAGTCGATCTATTTTTTTATGGAGAAAGTACATGTAATTAATATTATTAATATACAGGGTGTTTACGGTCTTGAGGTTGAAATTTAAATGAGATGATATTCACTGTAAAAGAAAACTAATACGCTATATAAAACAAAAATTCACGTTTGTGAAAGGAAATAATTCATTTTATATTATTTGTTTGAGAACTGCTGCTTCGGCCATTAGTATAATTACCTTGTGTTTCACGGTAAATCATAATCACGACAACCAATTCATTATTTTATAATTTTTTGCCATCCATCTTAATAAATTTGGAAAAAAAATTAAAAAAACGAATCAAATCGATTGGAAACCATTTCGCTGGAAGAGATTAAACAGAAAATCTTCGAATTTTGATAAAAAACTAAAGCAAAAGCAAAGCAAATGATGACAGTGTCAAAGCTATGAAGTGACTTTTCTCGTTTATTGTCATGGATACGATTCTTTTATTTGTTGTAACAATACAATTTTATCTGAACACGAAAATAATTCCAGTGACCCTCAAACCGTGTACCAATATTTTGGAGTTAAATAATATTCTTAATAATAACAATTGTGAGTTTTTTTTATTGATTACAGTATTTCTGCATTCTTCTATTACTAGGTCAATTTTCAACTCCAAGACCGTAAACACCCTGTATATTAATTTTGTCGTTATTTTTTGAACCGATTTGATTTGGAACAGTATGTTGTTTATATTTGTAAATAAGCGCAAACAAAATCAGGTAAAATTTAAGATTTGTTTATAGTGTATAATTTTTTCCATTAGGTCGCCACTCAATTGACATCTGAAGTGTTGCCTATCCGCCAATCAGCGGTCAGGACAAAAGCGAGGGTTCCAACTGAAGAAGAAAAGAACTTCAACGCTTTTATCACTCTTAGAAAAGTAAGAAATTTGACATTGGATTGGAATTTTTGTAAATATATATTTTTTGTTTTTAGGCGCGTGCTGATGCTCGTTTTGTTGGTATTCGTGCTAAGAGAGCAAAGGAAGCCGCCGATAATCCTGATGATGTAACAAAAGCGGCTAAGCCAAAAGGCAAGAAATAAGACGTTTTTGTATAATTAATTAATTCTAATAAAAAATTGACACAACTGATTTTTTTGTTTCTTTGTTATAATTTTTAAATCCAATTTGCTCGTTTTAGCTGCTAACTTTTCATTTGAAGAGCAATTACAGGAATCTGTATTGTTTTTCTGTTACTTGCAGATTCCCTCTTTCATTTCATTCAAATGTAAATACCGGTTTTTAGACCACACAAGTCCTCAGTATCACATAATTTCAAATTAATTGCATGTTTTTTTAATTAATGTATCAAATCTAACTGTTATTTGTAGCAAATCCCAGTGATGTCATCGTGCATTCCAATTTTTTTTTCAAACTGCTTTAAATTTGTGAGGATAGTGTTGGGTATAAAATGAAAATTTAATTTTGTCTTAAGTCGATGTTTCCAAGAGATTCAAGTTGTAACAAAAAATTAATGGACCTAATAGACCTTCAACCCATGAACACACTTTTGTGTGATGACGTAAGTTTATTCTTTTCCAGCAAAAAAATCGTTGACCATTTAAAAATTGACCACCACTTTGAAAAGAATTAATCTGTGACTTCCTTGGCGAACTATAATAAAGCTATTGTGGTTTCTTTGTCTTGTCTATTTTTTGGAAGATTCAAATAACTCATATAAAGAACCGAAATTAATTACAGATTATTTATATTTTTTACCAGATGATTTTTAAGAAGTTTCACATATTTATCAAAGACCTTCAGATGATAAATCGCCATCTAGTACCTGTTAGAGTCTCGGAAAAGTATATAATTACAAATTTAAACCGTAAATTCGGTGGATTCGATGAAGAAAACATTTTGAATAATGAACAAATTGCCTAGTTTTATTATTCTTTTTTTACATTTTAATGCATTTATAACCAAAGTGTTAAAATAATAAAATATAAATTAAAAAAATTAACGTTAAAAAGTACCGTGACGCTGGCAGGAACGGCTCCCCTCTCCTCAAGCGATTCGGGGAACTCCCGGCAAAATATGTGCCAACGGAACAAAAGTAAATATAAATATAAATTAGTTTACAAAGTTCATTATGTCACCTGCACATAATATGTATAATAGTATTTAAAATGTATACATCATTCAAAAAACAACACATCAGGTCTCATGTCAATACCGAAAAAAGGAGATGGATTGCGTTTAAAGAGTCCAAGTTTATCATATTCATCCTTGGTAATTACTGGTATGTGCAGAAATTTTTCGAAATCGATTCGCTCAATGAACACTGTAGCTGCTAGCGGGAAAGAGTTGAACCAATTTGGTTGAATAACGTCACTTCTGCCTGTCTTCCCATTTCAAGAGGCTGTTTATTTGGCATTCCAAAATCAAATTGGGCTTGATTGGGATCATGGTTTTTCCATGAGCTTGAGAAATTGAAATCATTAAATATTTGACGAACAATATAGTGTGCAAACTCGGGTGTTGCTAGTGTTAAAAGATCAGCGCAGTGTTTTATATTGCCGGGACTCCCAGAAACATTTTTGTTGCATATCAAAATGCCATTATGAAGAGCTGAGCCTCTCAAACCATCCAGAGGATTAAAACAAGCAGTTTGATAGATATTGGCGGCATTGACTATATTATAGATGTAGTCAGGATTGGGGTTCAAAACAGAAATGCTCTTCATAATTGCTAACCGGATCGGTTTCGACAAGAGTCTTTGTTTCAGTTTTGTAGCATTTTCCTCAACCATTTTTTTTTACTACAGCATCGTCTGTGATGGGCTTCAGCGAACCATATGAACTCCGACAACATCATGTCGTAGAACGTGACGCTGTCCATCTCAAGTATGCCTTGTTCTTTTAATTCGTCTTTATCAATGGGCATTTTTGTAAAATCAACAAAAACTTGAGCATAAGTTTTGAGTTTGACACAATCAAAATGGCGTCCTAGGAATTCCAGTAATTTCATCCATGTAACACGTTTTAACCCTCTTTGGTATCTCTGCACCTGGAATCGAATATTCGAAAGTATGCACTCCCTCACATTTTTTTCATCGAAAACGTCCATTTTCACAACTTGTATTTCCGAGATCGGAGTTTTCGGAGACATTACCAATACATCCTCAATGTTTATCTGTTCCTCAGGAGGACCAGTTGAAGAGTTAATGTAATCTCGCATCAAATCAAAAGTTCCCATAGTTTAAGATGTGGGTTTAAGTTTCAAAACACGGAACACAACACTAGCTCTAGATCTGTGGCTCTAGCTGTTATGCTGTTAAGCTGTTAGTCGCAGCACAGATTAGTTGCTAATCTGTGGTCGCAGTCAGTCCGCTCGGGTCAGTGTTGCCAACAGTGCGACAATGAAATTCTCAATGCGACAAAGTATAAAAGTAGCTAGAATTCTCCGTTTCAATTTGAAGGGTGTTTCAAGTTTCAAGCAATTCAGGCTTCCCCCACCCTAAATGAAAATTTATTTGCAGAAAATTTGCTTTTTTATAATATATGTTATGAAAGTAATAAATGTAAATAACAATAAGCGTAAACAATTAATAATTCTAAATAAACTTTAAACATAAAAATTAAAAAAAAAAACATAAAAATTAAAAAAAAAAACAAAAAAACAGTAGTGTTAATGTTACTATTATATCGAGCGATCAAGATAATTTGTAATCGAGTCATCTTTGAATTCGAAAACGTATGTCTGTGAAACGTCACATAAAATGATAAGTAGAAAGGTAAAATGGTATGATCAAAAAAATTATGATTTTAATAACTAAATTTATGATTTACCTTCAAAGAAGACCGTTAACTGTTTTATTATTATACGCTAGCGACTAATTCTAGCCCATTTTGAAGTTTTATCTTTCGACTTGTCATTTTATTTGACGTTTCACGTGCACAGTTTAAAAACAGACGTTTTCGGAAAATTCTCTAAAAATTCTCATAGTGATTAAAAATCGCTAGATCTGAGACATAAACAAAGCCAGATGATTTTCAAATTTCAATATTTATCAAATACCTTCAGGTGATGTTTTAATTGTTGTTAAAAATTTGTATTATTTAATTGATTTTTCAAGTTTTAATGTTAAAAGTGGACATAATGGTCTAGGAATACCAAAAGGAAAAAAAATATGCAATATTTATATTCTGGAAAAACCCATATATTTTATAAGAAAGTCTTGTACATTGAGTTTGATGAGTGTTTGTTTAGATCAAAGAAAAATGGCCTTATTTCATAATTATTTACTGGAATACCTCCAAATATAACCAGAGTATTCAGATATAGAAACTTATATTTCTTTAAAGGTAAAATGTATTATGAATTTGGTGATATTTCGAATACATTAGTTAAATTTGACTTGATAGTTTTCGGATTTAAATGTGGTCTTGTCGATTAAATAATAAAACTAATCGTCTGAGATTGATCTAATGCTACACATTTTCATATGATTTTTTTCTAATAAATTATGGATATATGTAATTAACTGTAATCATGAAAACTGTGACTCAAGTGACTCAGATGATAACTTTTATTTAACAGTTGAAGAAAAATAATGGAAAAACTATTTTTATTCCCAGAATGGTTATAATTCCCAAAGTTGAAGATTACAGTGATTAACATAAATAAGAGCATAAGTCATTAATCTTAAGTAATTTTTAATTATATGTTTAGCAGTGAACATTGATTTTAGATCTTTGATTCACAGGTCCACAGGAAACATAAATTTCGTGACTTCATCAAAAAAAGAAAAAAGCTGAAAAAATTTATTAGCAATAAATCGATGGGTCCATTAACCTTACATATAACTGTTTAAAATTGCTTGATTTTCGCACAGATTCCAAATCTAACAGAACATTTTCAAAACGAGTTTAATTTACATGTTTTTCTGGAAGAATTTGTGAAAAAATCGGATTTTTCGTGCTAGTCGCAAGAATTTGTGTAGAGGGGAGAAATAAATTGCCGTAATGAGCTTATGATTATGTAAATAAGCCCCGGTTTTTGTGTAGTTGTGAAATTAAATTGGTGGTCAAGCATCTGCAAAAAAGATCTTCGAAGCTTCTATGATGCAATAAAAAAATTCGTTCGTGACGTTCCGACGAAGAGGTCAAAAAAATAACCATCTGAAGTTTATAATAGGAATATCCATGGGAGAGGGATAGGGGGAAGTTGCATCCGGTAATCACAGCCACAAAAACAACAAGCGATTGTAAAGCTTCTCAGTCGGCGAGTTCGCTTTTGATAAAGAAACATCATGGGTTACGTTAGTGGTTTATCTGCTGTTTTAGTGTTTTTTATTAGTTTGTCCACTGGTAAGTCCCTTCATCTAACACTATTATCGATAATTAGCGCTGCTTTTGGCAAATTTGCAATAAATCCAATTTTTTAATAGTCTAAGTTCGTTATTGCATTAAATTTGAATTGCACGTAAGTCATTGTTAAGTCACACATGCGCTTTGTTTGAACGATTGCCTGGAATGCTGGGCAATTTCGTTTCAGAAAAATTGTAAAAAGCACAACAAGTTTTTACCACGGCTGTAAAAATCTTAAATATCTCTTTGCAGTTAATCGCCCTTGAATGGGAAATTGGTACTATTTATGGCCTGAGTCTTGTACGGCAAGTCTCATTTTTCTGATTTCACACAAACATTATATTTATTGCCGCGAGTCGTCTCGCGGTTTTTTTCGGAAAAAAGGGTTCTTTGGCTCGGCGACACAGGGAGAAGCATTTGAATTTTTTCAAGGTTGTGCGATGTATTTAAAATTTAACAGGTTTAGTATCCTGTCTGGATATAGACCTTTTTTGTATTCATAGCAACGGCTTTTTTCACATCTTTATATCCGATAGAGTCTCGCTTAGTTCCGGAATATGACTAATAGTTAATAAATATTCAGCTCGGGTCCGATCAGTTATTCTTTTCTATATATCGGTATTAGCATTTTGCAGGTCTTTGACTTTTTTTGTTCAATTTCTCGTCCTTGAATGGACCAAAAAACGGACGAGTCCGTGACTGCTCAAATATTTTAATTGTTTAAACAAAGAAGATCCACGAGGATCTTGTTGCAACGAAATTTCTAACAGGTCACTGACTCCGTGTTTGGTTAAACCGAATACTAGTCTTATCTTATGTGTACCTGTCTCATTTTAATTATTAATTAACAGGACAAAGAATAACTACCATCCAACTCGATGGCGTACAGTACTTTGTCAGCAGGATGAATCCTTACTCGCCCGAATTGAACTACTATCTGGCTTACCAATACTGCAGATCTTTAGGACTCCAGTTAGTTTCATTTGAAACTAAAGAAAAAGCAGACTCTATTACGCAATACCTCAAAAATGCCGGCTACGACAAATTCGATTTTTGGACTTCGGGGAACCGTCTGGGGACTCATATGTTTCTCTGGATGAGCACTGGACTTCCATTTAACGCGACTTTCAACTACATGAAAAAAGCAGAAGGTGACGACGAGAATGGGGCTACAATATCCGATATTGTCAGTGGTAGTACCAGCCCCCAGAGAACTGCAAGGGAGAGGTAAGTGTTTTAATTTCGTTGAATTACTGATTATGAATTTTGTTTTAGTAGTGATAGCGGCTCGGCTAATGGTTGTGTGGTTCTAAAAGCCCCCAATTTCGAATGGGATACCGACGATTGTGTCTCAATTAAAGATTTCATTTGCGAGCAAACCCGTTGCTATTATTATAATTATGGTTCTATTCCTGTGTCCACTGCGCAGGGGTAAGAAGGTGAGAGCTCAACAGCGACTCATCTTGGGTTATTTATAAATTGTGCCGTCATTTTTAACTACCACCTTGTCCCGTAACTCTACTAAGTTATTGTAAATAGCTTCTAGAAAACCGTTAAGGTCCCGAACCTAATTTGAATTGAATAGTCGATTATAATCCAACTTTAACACGGTGGTAGAATTAGTTAGTGTTTTAACCCAGGTGATTGGTGGTTGAGAAGGCTTCGAATTAACCTAGCTCTGATTAATTTAGCTATTTTCACAATTTGTAAACACATTGTTTCAGGAAACCAAAACCCACAGTTACGACCACTCAGTCGACTCCGACAACCGAAAATATCAAAAATAACTTTATTCATATTAGCAATATTATAAATAAGCTTCGCTCAACTCAATCAACTAAAAAATCGGATAAACTGGATGATTCTGCAATTCTGACTGATAAGGAAAATTTGGAACAGTCCACAAATGGTCCTTATGACAACTTTAATTCACACGATGAATTGCAAGATGATCCGGCAGCTATCGCTGATCAGGCTTCTGATTACGTTTCCACTATTCAGCCTGAGAAACTCACCACCATTGATCCTTCCAATCCGTCCATGAATTAGTATTTATTTCATAATGTGATGTCATGTATTACATTCTCTGTATTTTTATAACAGTTTAATGTAGCAGTAAACAGTAATAAAGACATTCTTTTTTAATACGAGTTTTTCTATCCTTTTCAAATTGAAATTAAATATTTACCGCGTTCGAGCGCCACCTATCAACAATTGCGTAAAACACTTCCAGTATGCTGTAGTTGCGCTACCAGTCGAGAGAGGGCAAAACATTAAATTTGCCGCTGAAAAATAATTCAAATAATTTTTTTGACTTCTGCCGGTAATCTATTTCACTTACCAGATGTGTAGCATTATGAAAATACCGTTATTCTGGATTATTTTCAACAGTAAAGTTAGATCACAATTGAATTATTTCTCGATTGCTTGGATAAAATTAGCAAGTATGAGGTTTAGAAAGGCTTGGAAGACGAATTAAATTACCTATTATATTACGGTAACGAGCTAACGGTTACATAATCAACTTTGAAATTCCTTTTACAAAGTTTTATTTTGTTATTTCGCACTTTTTTTACGTTAATGTGATGCTGGAGTTTGGTCGCAGTAATTGATTGCTTTAGCAGACAAATAATTACGCTGATTTATCGTTTAATTGCAATTCTTTGTTTTGAACTGATTTATCGGATCACTGGTTGTGTTTTTTGAGTGTATCTATTCAAGTGACGTTATTTGATTAGCATGGAGTTTGCTAGCGGAAAATTGAAATTTGCATTTTTGCAGTTGCACTATAATAATGTGTGATTAATTGATTAACAAAAATAATTTAACAGCTAAATTCCACATCACGAAACACCATTTTTATTATTTGAATTTTTTTTTTTTAATTTAGGGAATTCTTCAATAACTTATACATCTATACGCTATATAAATTAGGTCTTAATAAAATTTTGTTAATTGGATAGAATTGGTTTCTAGCAAATTGTTTTTTGTTAGTAAATGGAAGAATGTCCTACACATAAAGTGACTTTTTTAATTTGTCTTAGGTTTGAATAAAATAATTACGATATTTTTCTAAATGAAGAGTAAAAGGCCATAATGCACTTAAAAAACATATATTAAGTTTTGTATCCAAAATTTAACAAAAAATTGTAAAACATACACTTTAATATAATTTTTTTTCTTTTAAAAATTTTTGTAAGCATATCTTCATTATCTGTTCACATTACGAAGTCTGCACAAAACACTAAATACAAACAAATACATTTATTTATCTTTTTGGAAACTCTTGATAATGGTTGTCAAATTAATCATATACAGATTGTTCCAAAAGCAAACCGCCATACGTCAACCAGTGATAAAAAATGTCATTCTGAAAAACAAATTTTAAATAAACTTTTTTATCTTGATTCGTTAGAGTTACCTACAGCTTAGCAAAGAGTAATAACGAACCAACAAGTTGGCCGTGATAAATAAACGATGACATTTATGAAACGAATGTTTAATTGGAAGGCATTTTTAGTAATTTTTGCAGTTATTATGCATTTACTTAATTCTTATTTTTTTCAATTAATTTTTTTATCTCATAAATGAATCGTTTTCGGACTCATGTTTATGTTTATGTCATACATTGACAGTATTAATTAAATGACATCGTTTTTAATTTATAACGACTCTTTGCTAAGCTGTGACTCTAACGAATGAAGAAAGAAAAAAAATATTTAAACTTTTTTTCTCAGAATAAAATTGTCTGTCACTGGTTTGCTTTTGAGACAACTTGTATTATATATTTATATTTTTTTATAAATAATTGTGTAGGTATACAAACAACAAAAGATAAGACATGATCCAAATCTGTTTATGCTTATTAAATTTTTTTTGATAAGTTTTATTTTATGGTGAAATTTTTTGTTCCTTTAATAAAAATTATCGAATACTTAACTTTTTTTTAGCAGCTGTTTGCAGCGCGAGAAAATTAAAATTATTTGACATGATATTATAAGTGCAATAGGAGCAAAAAACTCATTAAAATTATTTTGACACGTTATTAAAAGTGAAATAAGAGCAAAAAAATAATCTTTTAAAGTGCATCGTTTCCAAAGAATTAAATTAAATTGTGAATTGAGGTTCGCAGTTGGCGTCATAATTGAATAAAAATTCTATTCATTATGTGTCTCTTGTAACAGTTATAATGCAATTACTTATTAATTTATTGGAAAACCGATTTTGCCCAGATATAAAGTACAGTAACGAACACATTCAAAGTAAAAAAACAAAAATGTTATTACTGCTCTTTGTGTAATATTATTATTTTATGTTAGCATTTACGGTTTAATATTATTGAGTTAGGTCACTTGGGGCACTTTTAAGTCACTGAGTTTCTGAAATAATATAAACGCTTCGCACGTGTATAACAGGATAAGATAGTTTTTGCAAAATGACTCGTCGCATCAGGCAATTTAAAGAACCGTCACGAATTCGTTCTAGTCTTTTTATTTAAATTTTTAAATCAAAGTATATACAGGAAAAAGTGTTTGACCGCGAAAGCCAATGTTTGACGAACCATAACTCCGCGAATCAAATTCTACATTGTTTTAAACTGTTTGAGCATGCATCAATTTGGGCCGGTGAGAGAGACATGTTGTCTGCCAACATTTAAAATAATTATTGTGTGAAAATGGTAATAAATCGTGTGTATTTATATTAACATAAGGGAATAACATCGATAAAGTCTTTATATGACTGAATGTTACTAACAAAAATAAAGAAGGCTGTATGGTGTGCAGAGAACAGGTTATTTTGTGGGCGTTCTCCCGGGCGTGGCTAAAATGCCATTGTTGCGGCGACGAATCGTAGTGTCTGTAGGCGTGTCTTATGTTTTCCATATGTATTTATCGTTGTATGAGTTCAGTTCAAAACCGTCATAGAGGTAGAACACATCTATTGGAAGTAAACGCGGGTGGTGTGTTGTTGTGATTGTGGAAAATCAGCGAAAATGCCCCGACCCTCACGTGAATCCTACGGGGACCAAAAGCCGCCATATTCGTACATTTCATTAACAGCAATGGCAATATGGAACTCCCCGGAAAAAATGCTACCACTCTCAGAAATCTACAAATTTATAACTGACCGGTTTCCTTACTACCGGAAAAACACCCAAAGATGGCAAAACTCTCTAAGACACAACTTATCTTTCAACGACTGTTTCATCAAGATACCTCGGCGGCCTGACAGGCCGGGCAAAGGTGCGTATTGGGCTTTACACCCCGCCGCCTTTGATATGTTCGAAAACGGCAGTCTTCTCCGTCGGAGGAAGCGGTTCAAGCTGTTGAAAAGCGATAAAGAGACTCTTGATAACGAACTAGCCGCTTTGGCAAACATCAACCGGTTTTTCTTCACGCCGCCGGAAAATAGCGAGTTCGCAAACCAACCAAAGCAGATACGCGAACCGTCGCCGATTACTAAAGTCAACGATACTGTCACGTGTATCAGGCCTAAAAGGTCTTTCACAATTGAGAGTCTCATAAGCCCCGATAAGCCCCAAGAGACGCAGAATGTCCACCTAATGGCGCATCCACATCCGTGGACGATGGCCTCGTATTGCGATCTAGCGATGGCACCTGTCAATTTGATGCAATCGCCGTGCTATAGCAACTACGCTATACCACCCTGTAAAGATCTCATAGGACTGTCGCAGTTGGCCCTGCGCTCGATTTGATAATTGTGTGCGACTGATTATTTATTTCGTCCAGTGAACGTGCAGTAAAAACTATAGTATTTATAAGGTGATCGTTCCTGTTTTTGGTTGGTATTCCCGAGGGAGTATCACCTGTATTTATAGGCTACTAGAAAACTAAATGTGATATTATTTAAGTTATATAATACATACAGAACAAAAGGTGTATTTTATTCATTTGTTTCCCAGCACGCGAAGAAAATTATATTTGGCCGTTGTTGAATTAGCTCTTATCACGATACGAGCATGTAAATATTTGTATTTTAACTATTACGCAATAGTTACAAGTCGTACTTAAGTTTATATTGTCCATATGTGCAAATCAGTGTAACATTTATGCAATATATGTTGTACATATTTAATAAAACTTATCAAAGTCAATGGATTGTTACTTTTTCACCGAAGTGATTCCTTTTAACAAACAATTACAACAAATAAATTGTTTCCATGACATTGTACTTTTATAGAGTTACTAACAAAAAGAAGCAACTTTACTTTTGATTGCATTAATATAAAAAGCATTGATTTTTTATTTACTACTACAATAGATGGATTTAAAAGGCAGCTGCAATTACAATCACAAGCTTCAATTATAGATTTTTCACAACCATAAATAATATTCTTGTCGATGTGAACGCGGCTTAACGCAACGCAAAGTGTTGTCAACCTCGTTGATATGTATTATGATTTATTGTAAATATAGTAAGTTGTATGCAAATGAATTTTTTAAACTGAAGCTAGGCTTTACTCCTCATGCTGCTTTACCGACTTTTTTTAATTAACTAATTTAGAAATAATTGCCAATAATTAAACTGATAATAAAGCATAAAACTTATTAATTCATAAAATTGTTCTTTTGCAAAAGAATTGTAAAATTGCTCAAATTTAACCATCAGTATTGTTTTTTTGTAAGAATATTTATTTCGAAAATATTACTCATTGATGTACCAGGGTAGCTCAAAGAGTAAAATAATTATCATAAACCAAGTTTTTCAAATTGACAACTACAACTATAAATGATTGAAACATAAGGACAAAATGTCTATTAATTACATTTATTTAAGTAAGAAAAAAATTTCAAAACTTCAGAGGAAAAACATTTTTTGATTTATCTGAAACGAACAAATCTGCAATTAAAATTTCATTATTCTGATTCAGTGAAAAGAAAAGTTGATGTTTCTCTTGATTTTTGACTTAGGTATAATAACTATAATAATTTATCTCTGCTTTTTAAGTCCTATCACATTGGCGGTTTTATTTATTTGACAACTATATGTCACTTTGACAATTAACTGATTATTGAATAATGATAATTCTTGTTAAAAATAACTTTGTTTTTTAACTTAAAGCTGTTTCTTTGAGTTGCCATTTATTAAAATTATGTTTTTCTAAAACATTTTTGTTATTTAACTTGCGTAAACTTATTTTTCAAAGTGAAATCGTCAAAAGAATTAAAACGCCAATGTATTGGGATTTAAACAAAATCAAGAGAAAAATGAACTTTTCTTTCCACTGAGTCAGAATAATAATGTTTTAATTACAAATTTGCTCGTTTCAGCTGAAGCAAAAAATGTTTTTCCTTTGCAGTTTTGGCGTAAAATCAAAGATATTTTTTTCCTCGTGTACACTCAATCCGGGGACATGATTGAACTTTCAGTTAAATTTCTTATTGTATCTAAAAGACTTTTTAATTAAAAATTAAAATAATGCTTCCCTGCTTATTATTTTATCAAATTTATTTGTTCTTGAAATGGATTTCTATAAAAATGCATTGAAATTGTTTTTATAGTTTGTAAATCAAACAGAAACAAAATCTAACAAACTATATGGAAAAGGTTTATCATTTTGAATATAATTTGAATATTTTAAGATAAGATAGAATATAATAACAAACAAAACAAAACAAAATTTACTTGTAAACGTTAAACCAGACTTTGTTATTTTCCAAAAATAAAATTAGGTATAATAAAATTATACCTAATACTTGTTGTATCTTTGTGTGTTTAACATTTTAATTAAATTTGTGCAGTACTTGCCGGATTTAGTAATTAGTTTAATTTTTTGCTCCTTGTTTATGGGTGTCGGTGTTAAAAAGGAAGTAAAAATAAACCGATAGCGCAATGAAATTTGACATAATGAGACCATTATAATGTATGTTAAATATCCATAAATAAGGTAGGGCTAAATTAGAAATTCTAATCGAGTGTTATAACTTTGTACACACCGAAAGAGTCCATATGGCCGGTACAGTTATAATAGACAACTTTGTTTAGACCTCTAATTATTTTTGCATTAATTTCCAAATGTAAATAGCTTGAAATCATCCCGGCGTAGGTGGTTTAGTTTGACAATAGGTCATTTCCATAACTATAAATGGTTCCGACGTGTCTAGTATAAAAAACAAAATTATCTGATGTAAATTAATATGGGAAAGTGTAAGCCTATACATGTAAATTAATGGAGTTGTCATTAAATTTGGGGCTAGCTTTTGTTTGCCAACTCCTATCAATGTCCAGACAAGAAAAACTTGTTACTTTAATCAAGTATATTGTTTAGAATCATATAATTAAGTCGAACTGTTGATGCACAGCCAGATAATAAGTAATTAGTCGGTTTCATGTTATAACCAATTTTAATTACGTCATTAATATTAAATTAATTGGATTAATCGATTATCGGGTATTGGCAGTTTATTTCTATCGAAGTTGAGACGTGTCGTACTTACCGATTTGAGATAAGAAAAGAGAAGCCGAAGAGTGTTTTAGATGGAGGTAAAAAATGGTAAAAACTTAAAGCGTATAAGTGATCCGACGGCCGATTTCGGGATGATGAAGCAGAATCGGTTGTGGTTATTTTTTCGCCCCTTTTAATGTGTGTAAATTTGAAAAATTGTGTCGCAAACAGATCAAACCGTGTCTAATAGAACAGTTGTATCATCAAATGGAAGTCACATCAGCATTGAAAGCAATTATCAATGGTCTATGCATAAATATTGTCACTAATAGAATAGAATTGGGGTTATGTTTTGTAAAATAAGCACAGGGGTGTGTCAGATGCACCCCAAACCGACATAAATCACAAGCATATGCAACGTAACGTGGAAAATGAAATTATATTAAATAGTTTCGTATGAACGCATCAATAGTCGAAAGATAATGCTTGATAAATGTTTATTTAGATTTTTGTAAGGCGTGACGTGCGTGCTTAATTACCGTCTACGAGAAATCAATGGCATTCAGATCGGGTCGTTATTAAGCGCGAAATAATGCTTGGAAATAAGAGTATATAAACAGTCAAACTGGGCACAACAATGATGAAGATAATAGAAAAACACCATTCCCATCATACAAAGAGCTGAAGAAGGCAAGCCGACACGTCCGCTGTTGTCACAGGTAATGTACGTGTGCTTTACTTAATTATGGTGTGAAATGAAGCCCATTATAGCTATTTGATTTCATTCTTACCTGTAATTGACCACCCATAAAAGTGAAAATTTGATAAATCGATCGAGAAAAATTTCAATCAATACATACAAGGCAAAAAGTAAATTTGTTTTTTGTTAAACTCTGCGCACCGACTATACGATCTAATCTCGATGGGAAAAAGTTTGCATCGTTCCCGGAATGCCCGGATTTTATAATAGAAGGTTTCAAATTCTGATCACCTGCTCAGTAAGTGCCAAATAAATTTACCTTCTGACACTTTTTTTCTTCTATTTTCTCTATTATTATTGCCAAAAATTGCCTACCTGCCAAATTACGAATATCACATATTAATTTATTCGATTCATTTAATTATACACATTTTCCGGAAATTCTTACACCTAATGCTACGAATTAGACAGGTGTTAAATAGGATTTCGGCCAGTTTACCTCCCAAATTTGTTTTTAAAAGCGATTCTTTTCGAACAACGAAAGGTGGCCATATTTTTTTGACGCCTCAAATTATTACACCTTCAGGACCAACACCAGGACTGCCCATCCGTGATACATAAATTACAGGTCCCAACGTTTCTCATATTATTTCTAAAAAAATAGTCAAACTAAAATAAAACAACATTACAAAATAAATACTTACGAAAAAATAAGTCAAATTTGTTTTATTTCTATATACTTAAAGCATTACTAAATAAATAAGTTGAAAGCTGAAATACAAAATCATTAAAAATACAAATATAAAAAATTTGAGTTTTAAATACCTAAATAAGTTTATGCTTTTATCATAAGCTTTTATTTAACTGTAGTCAAAAGGTATGGTGCAATTTCTCATCTTAATTTTCTCAATATTTCAAAATAATTTATAGGGTAAATGTGGGATATTGCTTAAAATATATTGCCACGTGGTTAAAATAAATGCTTTTACTTATCAAAATAATGTTATTGTAGTTTTAACTGGGAATTATTTTTCGAAAATTTAATAGGTAATGTGGATAAACACCGCTTTTGATGAAACACCTAAATGCTCCTTACCTTTATGCCTAATGTATTTACAAGAAGTAGTACTTTATCTTATAGAAAAATAAAAATATAAAATCAAAACATTTATAAAAATATAAGTATTCAACATACATATAAAAAATTTGCTCGAAATGATCTGTATAACCATATTATTAGATATTAGCTCTTTTTGAAAATTTTCTCTTTTTAAATGTAATTTTTTAAGCAAAACAAGAAGCTATTTGTCGGATACATGTTGGGATGGAAGCAAAATCTGCTTTTTGGAATTTTTTTATACTTTAAATATGTATGTATACAGGGAGCGCTAGAACTCGCGCTCCAGAGAAAAATGCCATGTAAGGTAAGATACTAGAAACATAGAAAAAATGTTAAAAAAATTCTATCTATAAAAGTTTCGAAGTTATGAGAGTTTAAATTTTGCACTTTGACTCTATTTATTTCTGTTGGGAAAATAATTTTCCAAGTTTTTTTGCTACAGGCTATTAAAAGAGGAAATAAGGTAAATTGTAACTTTGTTTAATGTTATTTGTATCTTTTATTGGAAAATTTGTCGTGTCTTTACTAAATAATTACAAAAAAACATATACAAGATCATTAGTATCATTAAATAGATATAAAAAAATGTCAAATGTCAAAAAATAAATTTTTTGACAGATAGAATTTTTTAAACATTTTTTCCAGCTTTCTGGTATCTTATCTTACTTGAAATTTTTTTTCTCGGGCGCGAGTTCTGGCGCACTCTGTATGTAGTATATTTATTTTCTAGATCTTTTTTAAACCAAAAATACAGTGGTTATGGGAAATTATTGGTATATGTATAGAATTTAAGTTTAATAAATTATACATGAGCCATATATCCCTTCGATGTGTGGCAAAAAC